GCTTGCCATCCACTGCGTTGTCGAGAAAGAAATAATATCCATACTGCAGGGGGCGCATTTGATTGTTCATATGTGTAGATGATGAAATGTTAGAATCGCACAGGTCAGTGAGAGTGCTACGGGTCGAAGAAAACGCTCTATAAAATGAAAGGCGAGAACTGAAGCCGTTCTCGGATTCCGGCAACGTACTCTCAGGTAGTCTCCTGCTTTATGGCGATGTCCGGGTGCCCTACCTTCTTCAGAGGCATCTTTCTCACGCTCAGCTAACAAAAATCTGAAGTCGACTGCGAGAACTTTATCGGCTTTCATGTACGAGTGCAGCGCACGCTTCCCGACCTCACTGGCTATACTGAGAGCAGGTGAAATTATTCCGAACTCAGGAATGGAGGATGAGTGCTTCTGAGCATATTTCCCCAGTTTGCCTATCCCGCTGATAGAATGCTTGATGGTTTGAGAGGTCCTTCCTTGATCGATTTCCATGACGAAAAATCTGCAGAAGACCTGTTTTTTTCTGTCCTTCTCTTCAGTGCCGTCGTACGACATGAAAAGAGATTTCGTTGCTGGAATCGGAATGAATCGGTTGGGCTCAGAACCCGAACCCTCGGCATCGACCGGGTCGAAATGAATATAAGGAACGCTTTCAATGGATTTGTCGTCTTTCGTCTTGTCCGACTTCAAGCTGTAGACCAAAAGCTCATTATTATTGTGAAATCCAACGTCAAATGGAGCGACGCTCATGCCCATCATATCAATGTCAAAGACGTGATCCTGGTAGACCAAGGAGTGCTCCGCATCATGTGCGGACGGGTCCACCGTGACGAATTCAGTTTCAACGTAAGGGTCGCGTTCTAAATCGGAGGGAAGCTTATCAGAGGCATAGAAGATTGATGACGACAAGGTGTGGGGATATGCCTCGACTGCGACTCTTCTGTAGCCTTTCAGAAGCTCTTTAAGGCCACATGAGGTATTGAAGCCCGCGTCTCTGTCGCGATGAAGCACACGAGGGGAGGCGCGAATAGAAACAGCATTGATTGTTGGGTCGTACAACGACATGCTGATGCTTCAAGACAGCAGAAGCCAGACGCGGTTCTTGGTTAACTTGGATGTAGAATGCTGAAGGTAATAGTTTCTTTGGGATTACGTAACATGAAGCGTTTGCAAGAAAGTGTTAGGGAGAGTATGTAGTGGATACTGGAATGAGTTGAAGAGGTTTCTGATGGCGCGCGCACTGGAAGAAATTTCGAGAATGAGTACAACAAGTATTGAGTATAGCAAGTAACTGATGTGTGAGACAGTGGGCAAAGTCGGGACTCAAGAAAAGTACCGGATTGAGTTTCTATAATTCTTGCTTATCGCTCTGTTAGAGTTGGAAGAATTGGAGCGTCCTAAAAAAAGTAAGGCCTGTTGGGCAAACTCCTTTTCTATTAAACATATAAAGCAATAGTGGTGATAGTGGTGCAGGATGGTGATGAGGACAAGTGAGGGAAGAGTGCGTGATGGTTGAGTGGAATTGCAAGATCATAAGAAGTCGTTGTAAGATAGTGTTCCTCGGTCGCTTCTTTTGGGACAATTGGTTCCCTGCGGTCCAGTTCTGTTACCGTGTTCTGTACACATATTATGTAATTATACCGACGCACGGCATCGGCAATGCAATACGTGTTCAACGTGTACAAGGTAGCGGGAGGAAGTGAAGCAGAGGAAGAAATCAGTTGCAAAAAGAACACGGTGCGTGGCCACGTGTGACGAAGTGGCGAACGTGCACAGTTGCGGGGCGGCATACAGCACGAAAGTGCGGCGCGCGTACGTCATCCATCGGACCCGTCGCGAGATCCAGCGATGCAGGACACAGTGCTGCTCAACACTTTTGTACAGTGGTCTGGCACGAGAATAAGGAAAAAGCAAAGAAATTGGGCGGGCGACTGTGCGGGCAGTCGAAAATAGGCGGCAAATTCACGCGTTTAAATATTTGAATAGCCCAATCATTGGGTGAACACATGCGCCAGGGCCCGCCCATTTCGTTCCACGTTCTCCACTCTCTGCCGTCCCTCTCTTTTTCGCTTCTTTTTCTTTCGCTTCCGCCCTCTCCGCTCCGTCGAACCTCGCCGCCCCCTCCCCACCGCCCGCCAGACCCCCAACCGAAACACCGTCGAGATCCCCCCCACTCCCTTTCTCCGACTTCCATTCGTTCCCTCCCAATCGTGTCCGTTTCCCCCCCCCTTATCCACCCGCCCCCCCCCCTCCTCGCGCTATCCTGCCTCCCCTCCCCCCACTCCTTCACTTCACCCGTTCCAGTCCAGGCGCCGCCGGACCGAACGCGCGACATGGCGCAGGTCACTCAGCGTGCAAAGCCCCAGCTCCCGCAGCAGTGGGCCGCTGAGATCGCTCTGGCTTCCTCTTCCGACTCCCTCCCCGCTTCGAACCCTTCTTTCGACACGCCCCCCTCCAACCCGACTACCGTCCCCGCCGAGACCCTAGGAGGTCGCGTCTTCGACTGCCAGCTCGACGGCTTCCTCGATCGCTTCCAGCAGGAGATTGTCTCCGCGAGACAACTCAAGGACAACCTGGACAGAACCTCCTCCTCAGATAATAGACATGCCGCCCAGAAACAGCTCTTCAAGGCGAAGATGGAACGTATCAAATCACTCTTCGCCACGGAGGGCGAGGAGTTCGTCTCCAGCCTCGAGAAGAGAAACCCGAAGCTCAGCATCGCCGCCTGTGGCGAGAATACCCTCGAGCTTGCACAGGGGATTGAACGCCTCGAAACTGCCGTTCGAGAAGAAGAAACCAAGCGATCCGCTCTGCCTCCGCTTCCCAAGCGTCCACCCTTGGGGCTCAACGCCGGCCTGAACGCCACTGTCGTCGACGAACTCGCAGTGTCCAACGTCACTCCGCCTTCTCCAGCCCCACTCTCTCGCGACGTTCCCATTGCCACTACAAACGGACCGGCCTCCATCGGCCAAACGTTGAATAATCTCAATTCGGACGAAACCCTTCAGCTTATGCAAAGTGATATTCAAGCCCTCAAACTCGAACTCATGCGTCTGCAGAGGTCCAAGACCAATACCAATACCAATCCATTCCCTCCTTCTGGACCTCTTTCCCTTCCTCCAGGCAAACCACTGGAGACACTGGACACCACCACATCCCAATTCTCCGTCGATAATCTTTCCCCAGAACGCAAGGAATCCGGTCTCCCGCCAAGTTTGCTTGCGAACAACAACGTCAATGTCGTCCGAGTCACTGGTCGCGCCAATGCCTTTGCCCCGACCTACGTCAGTCATCTCGAGCAAATGAAGTCCCGTCTTGAGGCTCTGGAGAGGAAGCCGCTCAGTCGTCGCGCAAAGTCAGCAGCCAGACTTGGTCGCACTCAGACCATGGGTTCTTTGTACGATTCACACAGGGCACAGGACGAAAACCACAACCCGAATGTAGCTGCTATGGTCACGCCTCCACGAGGCTCCCGGCGAATGAAGCACAGGTCCATCAGCACCCAGTCCCCCCCGATGAATTACTCTGCTAGAGTTTCGTCTCCTACTGCTGAGAACTTTGTCCATTTCAACTCCCCTGGGTCTACCCCGTCTCCGAGACGGCCATCGGGGCAGAACGGAGAGGCTGGCCGCAACGGAACCACGCCTGCGCGCCTTTTCTTCGATGCACCTGAAGAGATGTTAAGCCGTCCGCAATCCCATGCAGCCGCGAAAGACATGCAGAGATATTCCCTGAAAGTGGCACGACGCTTCGGACCCACCGAGCCTGTGCAGTCACTTGTGCATGAGCCGAGAGCAAAGTCTGCCGCTACCGTTTCCCCGTCAAGGCGGGTTACGCGAAAAGAAGGTATGTCTGTAGGTCATGCGGCTAGTGATATGGGTACAGTCACCCAGCCCGCTGCTGCTCCTCCTTCCACTATTGATACTACTGGAAGTGCCGGTCGAGTTGTTGAGGAAATTGAGGGAGATATGTGGGTGCGAAAAGGAGTCGTGTGGAAGAGGTGGCGCCGACGATATGCAAGCATTGTGTCGCATCAATTTTTCGGAAAGGTCATGTGCCTTTTCAGCTACGATGCTACTGGGGGCGTCATCAGCACTCGATCTCAGATTGTCGTCTTGCACAGTTCCCTGTGTCGAGTGTTAAGAGAGAAGGTGGAGATTGGTGGGCAAGAGAGGTTTATGTTTGTGCTCCGGACTTCTTCGAAGGAGTATTATTTTGCTACAGAGAGTGATGAGATCCGAAGGAACTGGATCCGTGAGCTTAGAGATGCAGCCCGGAAAGACAACTCTAGACTTATGCATCGCGTGAAGGGGAGATCGATGGCGTTTCGGCACAAGTTTTCGTGACAACATAGATACAAAGCAGCTTCTCGGAAAACGAGACTGATTTTGAAATTCTTGCAATCGCGATGTCGGGCATCGAAACTCGTATCGCAGGATGGCATTAGAAACGAGCGTCTGTCAATTCCCACTTGTAAGGGCAGTCTGCTGAGCCACTCATAGCCTGGATAGGCATATCGTTCAATGTTTGTCCGCCTGTGTCCGATTTAACCCTGGAAAACATTTTTTAGGCGAGCATTACCACCATTCCCCACATCAGCTAGTTTGTCGGAGCACCTGTAGCAGCAAATCTTCGCCAAAAAACAATCCACATGGCTAGGAGTAGAGATCACTGCGCTTAAATTAAAGATACCAATTGGGGGTTGTACAAGTAGTCAAATTTTGTGTGCCAGCGCAAGAATGCGCTCCTTGTGGTATGTTTCGTATGCGTCTGGTGCCCCGGCCGTGGTCCGGGAACGCGGTCTAGAAACTCTGTAGTCTTGAGAAATCCCTATGAGGGCGGGGAGATATACAACCGGAGAGCTGGGCAACTCTGATTCGCTGCAGCAACTAGTAAATGGACAAAAGCCAGAACACGGCTCTTGTCTCCTCTCCGACTACTTCGCCTCCCATTCGTGCCAAGGAGTAGCAGCAGTCAGAGACACGTACACTCGCCGCAGAGCGGCACACTGCCTACGCGCTACCGCTTCGGTGTTTGTCTTTCTTTCGAACTAAAAATTTGTCCATGGTTGAGGCTGGCGACTTCTCGCCTTTTCTCGCTTTCTTTGAACTGCCGGCTCCGCCGCTCTTTTGACCCAATTTTCTTCGCCTCTCTTTCGCAATCCCGCAGAGACTTTCCTCTCGATGCAAACGAAGGGCCAGATCTCTATCGGCCTTCTCTTGCAAGCGGCGCTTATGCGCTTCCTTCCCGTCAAGCATGAGCTTCTTGCCCAACCCGCTCGTGGCATGCATGTTATTGGCCTCTTGCCCTGAAGCCTGCAAGTGTCGTTCTATACTCTCGTTGACATGCGCTCTGTCCACAAAATTCGTCGCCGTCAACCCAATAAACGTAATCGGAAACGTGAATTGCTCTTCCTGTACTGCCCTTCTCAGCACCTTAACCGCGCTGGACAAAATAGCGCTGGCTCTTGCCTCCACAGCCGCCGCCGGCATTGGGGTGGATCGTGACGCAGTGATCATCCCCGACACGTCATCGGCAGCCTTCAGTCGAAAGCTAATTACGAGATTCTTAGCGTCGCGGTTATACAGCTCCAAGTCCTCAAGCAGTCTTTCCGCCAGTTCCTCTGCCAAAATGGGGAGCCAATGCTTCTCAACCGGGGCCAGAGAATGCTGGCTTGCAAAGCTCTTCGCCGCCAGCAAGCTCTTAGTCTTATCCCTCTCAATGACCTCGGAATCATCCTTACCTCTCACCGAATTATACACAAACGCGGCCATTTTTCGGCCGCCAAGCGCCTTTTCCAACGTCTCCATCGACAGCGCCGCTGCCTCACCGGCCGTCGCTACGCCAAGGGCCTCGACCTCCTTGCCGAGCTTGCCGCCGAGCCCGCGCAACTTGCGCAGCGGCACGTCCTGCATGAGAGCGGTGATGGCCGACACGGGCACGATGGTCTGCTTGTTAGGCTTGTTTTGGGCCGACGCAAACTTGGATAGCAGCTTGTTGACGCACACGCCGGCGCTGACAGTGAACCCGCAATCCTTCAGCACGCGCGCGCGGACCTCTGCGGCGATGTCGGCGCCGTACGCGAGACGAGCGTCGACTTGGCTACCGAGGTCCAGGCGGTCGCCCACGACGACGGTTTCTTTCGGCCATGCCCTGTTGCCATCGGGAGACGCGCGCATGCGCCGGTCGACCTCGCGCGTGACGTCGATGTACGCCTCGTCGATGCTCGCGCGCTGGAACTTTGCGTGATAGTTTGCTATAGCGGCGGTCATGGAGGCGAAGACCTTGTTGGAAGCAGTGCGATATCTAGCGAGGCTAATCTTCTGGGTGTTGACGACCTCTGTCCCGTGTGCGGTACCGGGGGCGTCTGGACGCGATTCGCCGCCGATGGTTTCGACGTGGACAACGGTGACTTTGTCCCCGGCGAGGTGGCGGATGTCGTCAACATTCGCGCCTCGCTTGATGCCGTACTTGCGCGCGGGGTAGCTGACGGCCAGGGCCATGCGCCACTGGACTACGACGACGGCAGCATCGGAGGGGAGGCGCAGGCGCTCGCGCTCTACCTGCGCGTAGAAGCTGTCGAGGTCGAGGTGCAGCACGACCGACAGGGCGGACATGCAGGCCGTGGCGGCGGATACAGGGGGGGGGGGGGGGGGG